TGTTGTATTGTCATTGTCATTTAATTGAAGGAACTGTCTGATTTCTTCTTTAATTTCCTCTGTGACCCATTGGTTATTCAGAAGTGTGTTGTTCAATTTCCACATGTTTATGAAATTTTTGGAGTTTCTTTTGCTATTGATCTCCAATTTCATCACACTATAGTCTGATAATATACAGGGGATAACTTCAATTCCTTTGCACTTATTTAAACATGTTCTGTGAGCAAGTATGTGGTCTATTTTGGAGAAAGACCCGTGTGCAGCTGAAAAGGATGTGTATTCTGATTTTGTGGGGTGGAACACTCTGTAAACATCTGTTAAGTTCATTTGTTCAAGGGTTTGATTGAGTTCTAGTATTTTGTTGTTTATTTTCTGTCTAATTGATCTATCTACTTGTGACAGTGGGCTATTGAGGTCCCCCAGTGCTATTTTATTGGTGCTTATTTGATTTTTCATGTCCGTTGGTATTTGTTTTATATAGTTGGGCACACTAGTGTTTGGTGCATATATTTTTATGATTGTCACCTCTTCCTCTTGGATTTTTCCCTTTACAAGGATGTAGTGTCCTTCTTTGTCTCTCTGAATCAGTGCTGGTTTGAAAACCACTTGATCTGAAAAGAGGATAGCTACTCCTGCTTTTTGGGGGGTCCCTGTCACATGGAGTATTGTTTCCATCCTTTAACTTCCAGTCTATGAGTTTCATTTTGAATTATGTGTGTTTCTTGTATGCAGCATATTTTGGGATCTTGCTTCTTGACCCATTCTGCCAGTCTATTTCTTCTGATTGGTGAATTGAAACCATTAACATTGATGGTTATAACTGATATGTATTGACTTATCTTTGTCATGACTTTTTCTTTTTGTTGGATTCTCCCTTTTGCTTTAATTTCTTGTCGTGCCTGATGGATTCATTCTGCTGGGCTTCCTGGGGTTGTGATCCTCATTGTCTGTTCCTAGGATATTGTTTAAAATTGTTGGAGTGCTTGTTTGGTATTCATGAAGTTCCTAAGGTGCTCTTTGTCATGAAAGCATCTTATTTCTCCATCAATTTTGAAAGATAGTTTTGCAGGGTACATCAATCTGGGTTGTGGGCTGCTTTCCTTTAGGGCTTGGAATACATCACTCCAAGCTCTTCTTGCCTTGAGGGTTTGCGTTGAGAAGTCTGCCGTGATTCTGATGGGCTTTCCTTTGTATATGATTCGTTTCTTTTCTCTAACTGCTGGTAGAATTTTGTTCTTCCTTTGGATTTCTGGAATCTTAACTATTATATGCCTATGTGTAGATTTTTTTTTTATCATGGCCAGTTGGAGTCCTACATGCCTCACTTTTCTCTATGTCTAGTTCTTTTCCCCTATTTGTGAAG